CGTCCCGCACACCCATTTCGGCACACCCCTCACACGTTTCGTGGCCCCACAGGGAGCTCCACCGAAGGCCCCATGGCTGCCGTCCGCATGCGTCCCGCACACCCATTTCGGCACACCCCTCACACGTTTCGTGGCCCCACAGGGAGCTCCACCGAAGGCCCCAGTGCTGCCGTCCGCATGCTCCCGCACACCCATTTCGGCACACCCCTCACACGTTTCGTGGCCCCATAGGGAGCTGCACCGAAGGACCATGGCTGCCGTCCGCATGCGTCCCGCACACTCATTTCGGCACACCCCTCACACGTTTCGTGGCCCCACAGGGAGCTCCACCGAAGGCCCCAGTGCTGGTCCGCATGCTATTTCGGCACACCACGTTTCGTGGCCCCGCGAAGGCCCATGGCTGCCGTCCGCATGCGTCCCGCACACCCATTTCGGCACACCCCTCACACGTTTCGTGGCCCCACAGGGAGCTCCACCGAAGGCCCCAGGCTGCCGTCCGCATGCGCCCCGCACACCCATTTCGGCACACCCCTCACACGTTTCGTGGCCCCATAGGGAGCTCCACCGAAGGCCCCATGGCTGCCGTCCGCATGCGTCCCGCACACCCATTTCGGCACACCCCTCACACGTTTCGTGGCCCCACAGGGAGCTCCACCGAAGGCCCCAATGCTGCCGTCCGCATGCGTCCCGCACACCCATTTCGGCACACCCCTCACACGTTTCGTGGCCCCATAGGGAGCTCCACCGAAGGCCCCATGGCTGCCGTCCGCATGCGTCCCGCACACCCATTTCGGCACACCCCTCACACGTTTCGTGGCCCCACAGGGAGCTCCACCGAAGGCCCCAGTGCTGCCGTCCGCATGCGTCCCGCACACCCATTTCGGCACACCCCTCACACGTTTCGTGGCCCCATAGGGAGCTCCACCGAAGGCCCCATGGCTGCCGTCCGCATGCGTCCCGCACACCCATTTCGGCACACCCCTCACACGTTTCGTGGCCCCATAGGGAGCTCCACCGAAGGCCCCAGTGCTGCCGTCCGCATGCGTCCCGCACACCCATTTCGGCACACCCCTCACACGTTTCGTGGCCCCATAGGGAGCTCCACCGAAGGCCCCATGGCTGCCGTCCGCATGCGTCCCGCACACCCATTTCGGCACACCCTCACACGTTTCGTGGCCCCACAGGGAGCTCCACCGAAGGCCCCAGTGCTGCCGTCCGCATGCGTCCCGCACACCCATTTCGGCACACCCCTCACACGTTTCGTGGCCCCATAGGGAGCTCCACCGAAGGCCCCAGGCTGCCGTCCGCATGCGTCCCGCACACCCATTTCGGCACACCCCTCACACGTTTCGTGGCCCCACAGGGAGCTCCACCGAAGGCCCCAGTGCTGCCGTCCGCATGCGTCCCGCACACCAGGTGTGTGGCGTGCCGACATGGGCGTCGCGGCGCGCGGGCGCTGCCGTCGGGGTTCCCAGGGAAGCCCCCTGCAGAGGCGACGCTCAGAGTCACGAGTACCGAGAGTCACGCAGACCCAAACTGTTCACAGTCGTATACATACATTTACACTGGGCGTATCCATGCACGCATTCATGCGAATAGAATCAATCGCGCGCAGATTCATTCATAATCAGACTCGCTCGCGATCCGACTCGCACGCGCTCAAGCTTTCATATTCGGACCTATCGTCTTCGTTCGTGTTGTGTACACTGCCACGCATTTCGGCACACCCCTCATACGGCTCGTGGCCCCATAGGGAGCGCCACCGAAGAAGATATTCACAATTGCGGTACTCTCAACTGCATATGGTTGGGTCCTTCGCCAGGCTAATTTATTTTATGTTCTGGCCTCCTCACACAGGCCGCGCCGGGCTCAGGCCGCCGAATTATTCTAATCATTTTAAACTCATTTAATTAATCCATACGGATTAGTTAAATTAATTAAATTAATTCGGCTGCGGATGAGGGTCCCCAGGACCTCCTCCAGGGAGGCCAGACAAATCAATAAAATAGATATGATAAATACAATACATAAAATAAATATAATTATTGAATTAATTTAATTATTTAACTTATTTTATTTATTGCATTCATATTAATTAAAGAACTCAACTAATTCGATTACTTTGATTTATATATTTTATTCATTGTATTTATTTTCTGGCCTCTTCACACAGGCCGCGCCGGGCTCAGGCCGCCGAATTAATTTAATTATTTTGATTAATTTATTTAATCCATACGGATTAGTTAAATTAATTAAATTCATTCGGCTGCGGATGAGGGCCCCCAGGATTTCCTGCAGGGAGGCCAGAAACAATACATAAAATAAATAAGCTAATTAGAAGTAGTTGAATTAATTTAATTATTTTTACTTTATTTAGTGTATTCATATTAATTTAATAATTACATTAATTCAGTTAATTATTTTTATTTTATTTATTCATACGGTTTAATTATACTCACTTAAGTAAATAAACTAATTCAACATATTGTATTGGAATCATCTCCAATCATATATATATATATATATATATAGCTCGTACCCAGAGGGAGTACGTGTATACATATTTATATAGAGAGATGTATTCCTGCGCCTCGACTGTACAGTAGGGGCCCAACCACAAGAAACCTCCCACAAGAAACCCAACCTTGAGATCCCAGGACGTCCATTCACTTTTGGTGTGGGAGCGTCGCGCTTTCCATCGCAAAGCCTGGGAAACCCAAGAAGCCCAGGGCACACTGGAGGCAAGCAGGGTGTTTCTTGGCATGGGCCTCCACTGTACGAGTACGCGCGGGCCAATCATCCCTCACTGGTCGCGAGATAACTGCAAGCTACGGTAGGACCTCACATGATAATCGTCCGAAGGAGTCTCGAAATCATCATCATCGTCATCCTGTGACTGCGGAGGCACTCTTCCAGTCTGGCATATGCGGGTCCTTGCCGACACTTGCAGGTTTCGTGGAAGATAGCTGCCTCGGATTACAAAGGCTCCCGCTTGAGTATTCTTCAAGATTCAGGCTCCCAGCTGTCACCGAACCTGTGCTTTTACAGGATTTTCCGTCGGCCGCCTCGGATTAGTAACATGAAGCGGGGGCCCCATAGGGAGGGGGCTCCCGCTCGAGTCTCCCTCACGATGCACTGATAGGCGAGCGCCCGAGACTGATTTGCTCAGGGACGAGGCTCCCGCTCGAGGCTTCCCCAGGAGTCGGGCTCCCAGGTGCCGCCAAACCCGAGTTTTGACCAGGTGTTTCGGTGGCCGCCTCGGATTGCCAGCACAGGGCAGCGGCCCCACCGGGAGGGGCTTCCGCTCGAGGCCTCCCCGCGGCTCACTCGCAAACCAGGGCGCGCCCGAGACGTCCTCTCGGCTTGCTCGGGGACGCGGCTCCCGCTCGAGGTCTCCTCTACCTCCCCCTCCTCCGCCTCCTCCTTCTGCTCCTCCTCCTCCTCTTCCTCCTCTTCCTCCTCCTCCTCCTCCTCCTCCTCCTCCTCCAGGGTATCATCAAACCTTTGCGTTGGCAGGAGACGCCGATGGCCGCCTCGGACTGCCAGCACGAAGCGGGGGCTCCATGCGAAGGAGCTCCCGCTCGAGCCTTCCTCGCAACTCACCCACAGACGAGAGAGCGCCCGAGAGATCCCTTTCGCTTTGCTCAGGGACGAACCTCCCGCTCGAGACTTCCTCTGGATTCAGGCTCCAGGATGTCACCAAGCATGTGTTGTACATGTTGTTTCTGGTGGCCGCCTCGGATTACCAACACGATGTGGGGACCCAGTGTGGAGAGGCTCTCGCTCGAAACTTCCCCGCGATTCACTCATAGGCGAGGCTCCCGCTCGAGACTTCCTCAATGTTCATGTTGCGTGAGTGTGTGAATGAACGAGTGTGCTTGCGTCTGCGAGTGTGTGCGGTGATAGTGATGGTGATGGTGATGGTGATGGTGATGGTGATGGTGATGGTGATGGTGATTGTGAGTTTGATGATGATGATGACGATGATCGTGGTGGTGGTGATGAGGATGACAATGACAACGATGATAAATATAACTATGTTGTTGATGCTGACGATCGTGGGTACGAATATGATGATGATGATGATGGTGATACTGGTGATGATGATGATGATTACAATGATGACGATTATGATGCTAATGATGATGGTGAGGTTGGTGATGATGCTGCTGATGAGGATGATGAGGATGATGATGAGGATGATGAGGATGAGGATGAGGATGAGGATGAGGATGAGGATGATGACGATGATGATGATGATGATGATGATGATGATGATGATGATGATGATGATGATGATGATGATGATGATGATGATGATGATGATGATGATGATGTGAGCGTTGTTGATGGTACTGATGATGCTGAATATGATGATACTTGTGATGCTGGTGATGGTCGAGATGGTTGTGACGATGTTGCTAATAATGTGAGTGATGATGAATGTAGAAGGAAGGTCGAGGAGAGGGGAGGGAAGCTCATGCGCTGGATGTGCAGATATAGCAAGGGCCACACGTAGGATGTGGGGAGCAAAACACTCCACGCCCAATAACAAGACAACACGCGCACACCCACACACCCACACACACACACACACGAACAGACGAACCCACACCCACACCTACACCCACACACACACACCAACATACCTCCACCCCCCACCCACCCCCACACCCCCCACACACACACACACACACACACACACACACACACACACACACACACACACACACACACACACACACATACACACACACACACACACGCACACGCACACGCACACGCACACACATACACAAACGTTACATGCAATGAAAAAAAGGTCGCGCACCACTGCGGTGCTACGCCGACGACGGGCCGAGACTGGGCCAATGCCCGAACCCCTCACAGACGCTGAACCGCACAGAAAGATACGATTGGTGGAAGCGATTGTGCAAACAAGTTTGGCAAGCAGCGCTATCTGCCTTGTAGCACGGCAAACCAAGGTTGAGATCGAGATCCTGGGGTGTGATGTTATAGAACTGGCTGAGGAAGCCGAACTCGCCACGAAGTGGTCCCATAACAGAGGCAGCCTTCCGGGTTTCATGTATATAAGCAGAGAGGGCTCATTCAGGCAACGCTCTGTTCTGCGCGCGGGCGTCACACATCCTCCTCCCTCTGCCCCTTCTCCTGCTCTTGCTCCACGTCCTCCTCGCCCCCTGCCCTCTCGGGTCACATGAGAGCGCTGGCGGCTCTGCACAGCATGATTCCAGAGCAGCGCAGACGGTAGCATCAACAATGGAGATCTGGCATGGGGAAGCGGGTCCTGATGGAAACGGGCCCCAGACCCTGGGCCCGCCCCCCAGGGACGCGATCTTCATCCTGAGTCGATTTCAATAAAGGGGCCCAGGGACACACAAATGAATGCAAACGAATCCGAGGATTCCCTGTATTCTCCCATTGTTTCTGGGTCTTCGTCTTCCCCCCCCGCTTCCAGTATTTTCCCATACCTTTCCTGGGGGTCGACGATCAGTTGTGTCGGTGTGTTTCTTCCCCTCCTGAGTGTGGAGGGCCCCGAGAGCCCACAAACGCCAAGAGACTTCAGGACCCGCTGCCCACAGGACCCGTTGCCCCCCAGGGCGACAGATACGTACATCCAGCCTCGTTTACACGCGCAAGCTCTGGCGTCGCATAGTGACGCGTGATGCCCAAAGCTGCCCGCACGACCAGAGGCGGCGCTCGCACTCACTCCGCGGGCCCCTCCTCCTCCCGCAAGCTCCCCAGCACCCGAGGAAGCGGCTCGAAGCCCCGCTTGCGGCGGCCCTGGCAGTGTTCTGCCTCTCCGTCGAACATGCTGTCGCGCATGCGCCAATAGACCTGGCCCGGCACAGAAACGGAAAGAGCGCTGCAGCAACAGAAACCGAAATGACTCACACCACCGTTCGTACCGGGAGCCTTGGCGTTGAGAGCTGGTTACGTCACCCCTCGCTCTTGGGAGCCTTGGTGTTCAGAGATGGTTGCGTTGCCGCCCGTTCCTGAGCCCTGGCTGGGCCTTGGTGTCAGGAACTTGTTACGTCACCGCTCTCTGCTGTGAGCCTGGGTCTTGTCAGCTTCTGGACGTCACCGTTCGCTCTTGGAAGCCTTGGTGTGAAGAGCTTTTTGCGTTACCGATCGCTCTGGGCGTCTCTGGGCCTTCGTGGGAGTCCTATTGGGGCCCTTTTCGGGCCCTCCTGGTGGCCTCCTGGTGGCCTCTTGGGGGCCTCTTGGGGCTTCTTGGGGGTCTGTTGGGGCCTCCTGGGAGCGTCTTTGGGCGAAAGGCTAGGCCCTCTTGGGCCGTTGTGGGGGCCTCTTGGGAGCCTCTTGGGGTGGTCTTGGGGGCCTCTTGGGCCGTCGTCAACGCCGCGAAAGGCGAAAAGCCGTGTATGCCAAAAACGTACGTTTTCCTATGGAAAATCTATGAGTTTGGCCTCTTGGGGCCCTCTTGGGACGCACCTTGGACGCCTCTTGGGGGCCTCTTGGGGGCCTCTTGCGCCGTCTTGGGGCTGTCTTGGGCTCTTCTGGGACGGAGAAGAAGAGAAATCAGAAAAACAGGCGAAAACCCTGGGGAAAACCCCCAAAACGGCCATTAACAGCCATCCAGGCGCGGTGCGCACCCCCCTGGAACTTGGGGGGCCTCTTGGGAGCCTCTTGGGCCGCCTTGGGGCGGTCTTGGGGGCCTCTTGGGCCGTCGTCAACGCCGTGAAAGGCGAAAAACCGCATATGCGGAAATTCAATTTTTTCTTTGGAGAATGTATGATTTTGGCCTCTGGGGGCCCTCTTGGGACGCCCCTTGGGCGCCTCTTGGGGGCCTCTTGGGCCGTCTTGGGCGGTCTCTTGGAGCGCTCTTGGGCCGTCTTGGGGGGGAAACCCGACAAGCATGCAAAAACCCGACGGAAAAACCCCAAAACGGCCATTAACACTCATTCGTCCCCCCTACGCCCCCCCTGAAACCCCCCCTGAAGGGCTTCGCCCACACCAGAACGTCATCACTCGTACCTCGCTCTTTCCGTTACCTGCCGGGGAGCACAAAAAGTCGTCGGCGAGCGAGGGGGGAAGTGAGAAGGAGAAGGCCTTCCCAGAAGGCTGCGGGTCTTCTCAGAAGTCCCCGCGCCTTCTGAAACATGTTCTGCGTCTTCAGGGAAGGCTTAGAACACTTCTCAGAAGGCCGGGGGACTTCCGAGCCTTCTGAGAAGGCCCGCCCCTTCTCACCTCACATCCCCCTGGGCTCCCCGCCGAAGAAAGGGTGATTGCAAAACGGCCCTTCCCGAATCAGCTCATGCAGCTGGTTTCCCTGGCGCCTCCCGGCGGTGGAAGCGGCCACGTATCGAAGAGCAGCGCTCGGCGGCGGGGCCGAAACCAGCTGCACGCAGCAACTTTCGCAATGGCACTCCCCCTCCTCCTCCTCCTCCTCCTCCTCCTCCTCCTCCTCCTCCTCCTCTCCTCCTCCTCTCCTCCTCCTTCCTCTCCTCTTCTCCTCCTCTTCTCTCCTCTCCTCTCCTCCTCCTCCTCCTCCTCCTCCTCCCTCCCTCCCCCTCCTCCTCCTCCTCCTTCTCCTCCCCTCCTCTCCTCCTTCGTCCTTCCTATCCACCTCCTCCTCCTCCTCCTCCTCCTCCTCCTCCTCCTCCTCCTCCTGCTCCTCTTGCCAGGCAGGCAATGTCGAGGGGGGTCACCACCCAGAGGGTCGCTGACTCCTCCGGGAAACACGGACCCCGCTGTGGACGCCCCCCGGACGCCCCAAAAAAGCGTCGACTTCCTCGCTCGTCGGTCCTCCCTCCTCGTGGATCCTCGATTTCGGGGAGGAGGTGGTGACCCCTTCTATAGTTGAGGGGGAATGCTTCTTGGGCGGCGGGCGAGGGGGGGGAAATGAGAAGGAGAAGGCCTTCTCAGAAGGCCGCGGGACTTCTCAGAAGCCCACGCGCCTTCTGGACTTTTTTGTCATCGGGGAAGGCTTGGAAAACTTCTCAAAAGGTGGGGGGACTTCCGAGCCTTCTGAGAAGACCTTCTCCATCTCACCTTCGCTCGCCGCCGACTTATAGCGGGGCTGGCTCGGGGGGGGGGGGAACATCGAAGTTGAATCGGCGATACCTTCGTCGACAGGTCAACGGTAGGCTCTTGGCTGTGAAACGGCACGCTCCTGACCGGAACGGGCCATCAGGCACGTATTGGCGATCGATGGGCGATCGGGGGCCGCTGCGTTCCCTCCCTGGGAGCCCATCCTCCCCTCGTGCTGCCCCTGACCGGTGGCGACCCCGACTGGCACTGCCCGGCTCTCGCACGAGAGCGCCAAGTGCATGAACAATGATGGGCCTGTTCTCCACCACCACCACCACCACCATGAGTTGGAGGGGAGAAGGTGGAGGACGAGGAGGAGGAGGAGGAGGAGAAGGAGGAGGACGAGGAGAAGGAGGAGGCGGAGGAGGAGGAGGACGAAGAATAGGAGGAGGAGGAGGAGGAGGAGGAGGAGGAGGAGGAGGAGGAGGAGGAGGAGGGAGAGGAGGAGAAGGAGGAGGTGGTGGAGTAGGAGGAGGTGGTGGAGTAGGAGGAGGAGGAGGAGGAGGAGGAGGAAGAGGAGGAGGGGGAGGAGGACCCCCTCCCACTCCAACTTATAGTGGTGGTGGTGGGAAACAGGCCCATCAAACACTTTCAGAGCTCCGCGCGGACTCCTTGAATCGGCGCTGAACCCCTCCATCTGGCGCTCGGAGGGCGCCAGGGGTCAATGCCGGCCACATGCTTGGTCAGGACGGCCACGACTCCTTTGTAACATACAGTGGGGTTCACACGGCCTTGCTCTTGCCCCTGCGCCCCATAGCCAACCTGCGTACTCATCGACCCGCCTCTTCACCTTTGCTGCTATTAGGGTGCTTTGCTGGGGTAGTCGTCTTCGAGATTTTGTCCGACCCGAACCTTCAGGAGTACCGTCGAGCACGCGGCCATGATGACCAGGAGCACGGGCAGCATCACCCTCACGGGCAACATTCTCGCCTCGGCCAGCCTCTCCTCCTCTTGGGGATCCCAAAACCGTGCGGCGACGGACCGCGCGGTGACCTCGAGATCCCAAGAGACCTCGCCGCGCGGTGCGTCATCGCAGGATCTTGAAGCCTGGCCCTGGTCGCCCGAGACGTCCTCGGAGAATGACTCGAGTCCCAAAACCGCGCGGTGACCCCGAATCTGGGGAAGCCAAAAGGTATCGATACCGCTACTCCCCAGAACTCTCCCCAGGGCTCGGACCAGAAGCTGGAGGCGCATCCGGCGGTGGCGATGGGGGCCTCCCAAGAGGCCGGAAAAGGGGACAGCGGGCGAAAGAGGCAGCGGCCTGTGTACCTTCTCCTGCACGGTTTCCCCCGGGGCCGTAGGCGACCATAGGAGGAGGAGGAGGAGGAGGAGGAGGAGGAGGAGGAGGAGGAGGAGGAGGAGGAGGAGGAGGAGGAGGGAGAGGAGGAGGAGGAGGAGGAGGAGGAGGAGGAGGAGGAGGAGGAGGAGGAGGAGGAGGAGGAGGAGGAGGCGGAGGAGGAGGAGGAGGAGGAGGAGGAGGAGGAGGAGGAGGATGAGGAGGAGGAGGAGGAGGAGGAGGAGGAGGAGGAGGAGGAGGAGGAGGAGGAGGAGGGAGGAGGAGGAGGAGGAGGAGGGGGAGGGGGAGGAGGAGGAGAGGAGGAGGGAGGAGGAGGAGGAGGGAGGAGGAGGAGAAGGAGAAGGAGGAGGAGGAGGAGGAGGCGAGAAGAGGACGGGTCGCCTATAGCCTATAAGCCCTTCGGAGACACCCTCCTCCTCCTCCTCCGAGAAACCCAGAGATCCGACGTCGTGATTTTTTCAATACGGGTTCCCCAGAAGTCTCGACCCCTTCCCCAGCACCGGCTTCTCATCCTGGGTCGCTTCTTGCCGGCCCCGGGGCCCGGCGAGGGCCGCCAGAGGCCGACCATCGAGAAACACCTCCGTCTTGATTTTTGTCAATGCGTCGGAGGTCTGGGAAATCACCCGCTGACTCACCACGCGGCGCGGCCACCCGCGCACCGTTCCGGGCTTCGCCCGCTCCTCTCGCCCGGCCAGGCCGGCCGCGCCCGCGCCCGGGCCGCCCACCAGCACCGCCTCCACGTAGGAGAGCAGCGGGAACTCCCTCACCAGGTAGGAGTTCCCCTCCAGCTGGATCCGCGTCTGGTTCGGCCCCCTGTGGGAGGCACCAGCCCAGACCTCCGACGCATATTGAGAAAATCAAGACGGAGATGTTTCTCGATATTCGGCCTCTGGCGGCCCTCGCCGGGCCCCGGGACCGTCAAAAAACGACCCAGGATGAAAAGCCGGTCCTGGGGAATGGGTCGAGACTTCCGGGGACCCCGTATTGAAAGAATCACGACGTCGGATCTCTGGGAGGACATACTGGTCGGGTACTACATGTCCTCCCTGGAGGCGCGCGTCCGCCCCGAGCACAGTGGGAATACCCGTCTTGTGGTAGATCGTTTCTCGAGCGGTGTGGCCAGAGAGCGCCCGCCACGACGCATATACTCACCACCCACCAAACCACCCCAACCCAACCCGAAGGCTCAGATTTACCCTCGATTTCTAGTGGGGGGGGATCTGGGAACATCGAAAAAACACATATGGAGCCCATACCTCCTCCAACCCGAAATTCGCGTCTTCGGGTTGGGTTGGGGTGGTCTGGTAGGTAGTCATGTACTGCAGGATTCCTCGGCGCACGCGTCGCCCCCGAGGGGGCGACGCGCAGATCGCAGAAGCACTCGTTGGGGTGACGCCGACCCTGCCCGGCGGTGCGCCCAATTGGGAGCGGGCCTCGCCTCGGGCGGCTCCGCTTAGGTCGGGCGTGTGCCCCTACGGGCGGAGCTTGGACGACAAAATAACAGAAACAGTCACAACGAATAGGCATCCCTTACAACCCTCATAGCAATAACAGAGCTCAGTCAGGCACAGAAATAGCTGGGGATAAGTACTTAGCCAGAACAGATACCCCCAACAAGTACCATAACAAATCCCCAGACTCTTCGTTGACTGCTTCTGGATACCCCTCCCGTAGGAGGGACGCGCCCGACTCGAGGCTCCGCAGGGCCCCGGGCCTCCCCGGCAGCCCGGTGCGGAGCCGCGGCCGAAGCCCGCGCCCGCCGCCCGAGGTGAGGCCCGCCCCGCCTCTCGCTCTTCGGGAGCGGCCAAGAGGGGGGTGTCCAAGCGGGGGGGGGGTGCAAATCATGGCCGGCGGCATGTGCGCGGCCCAGCGGGGGGGCCTGGGACGTAATGAAAGAAGAAGAGGCGCCATGAAATCTGAAAAATCATGGCCCGCGCCATGATATCCCCCCCCCAATCATCACCCCCCTCCTTTCCGCTCCCGAGCTCTCCTCCCCCCCCCCCCCGCGGGAGCGCCGTCGCGGGCCTGCCGCGGGGAGGCGCCTCCCCGTAGCCGCCGTACAGCCTCAGCACGGTGCCCATGCCCTCGACGACCTCGGCTTGGGTCGGGCTGGTCCCCCTACGGGCAGACTTTGGACGGAACATGAAAGACGCCCCGAGAATACTGAACCATCATGGCCAACAATACCTATACGACCACCCTTCGGGTGATAAGGAGGTTCGGTGGGGGGGAACCAACGTCTCACTCAATCGGTCTCACTATCGGTCTCGCTATCGATCTCACTATCGATCTCACTATCGGTCTCGCTCGATCGATCTCACTCGATCGATTTCACAATCGATCTCACTCGATCTATATCATTCGCTCGATCTCACAAGGGACCTGACTATCGATATCACAATCGTCATCACGATCGATCTCGCATTCGGTCTCACGAACGATCTCACTATCGATATCACAATCGATCTCACAATCAACGTCATCATCGTCATCGGCAACAACATCATCACCATCATCATCATCATCATCATCATCATCGTCATCATCGGGACACAATCATCATCATCATTTCATCATCATCGTTAACATCATCATCATCATCCATCGGGGCACCATCATCATCATCATCACCATCATCATCAACAGCAACACCATCATCGAGCATATCATCATTATCACCATCGGGGGGCCATCATCGTCATCACCAGCATCATCACCATCATAATCATCATCATCACCAGGACAGCATAATCAGCATCATCACCATCATTACCAACATCATCGTTGGAGCACAATCATCGTCATCATCATCATCATCATCATCATCATCATCATCATCATCATCATCATCATCATCATCATCTGCATCGCCATCTCATCATCATCATCAACAACATCGTCATCACCATAAGCATCATCATCATCATTGGGACACCAGCATCGTCAACATCATCATCAACATACTCATCATGATCACCATCATCATCGGGACACCGTCATCATCATCGATATCAGCAACATCATCATCATCATCGGGACATCATCATCATCTCATCATCATCATCATCATCATCATCATCACCGGGACACCATGATCATCACCATCATCATCAGCAACATCACCATTGTCAGCATCCTTCCCATCAACATCATCGGGACACCATGATCATCACCATCACCATCAGCAACATCATCACTGTCATCATCATCATCATCATCATCATCATCATCATCATCATCATCATCATCATCATCATCAACGTTATCATGTTATCATCATCGGGACACCAGCGGGACACCGGCGGGACACCGGCGGGACACCGCGGGGCCCCGGCCGCCCGGAAGGGAGACATTTGGTCTGGCCGCGCCTCAGCCACAGGGGACACCAGCGGGACACCGGCGGGACACCGCGGGGCCCCGGCCGCCCGGAAGGGAGACATTTGGTCCGGCCGCGCCTCAGCCACAGGAGACTTTCCTCTCGCCCGCCCACGCAGCTTCGCCTCGCCCGCACGCACGGCACGCACGAACACGAAACCGAAATCGATTTCCCGGTAGGGGGGGCTCTCCGTTCCACTTCGATCTCACCCCCTCACCTCCGATAGTCGAAGAGTCGTCCCCGGACTCTTTTGGGACTATCTTTGGACATCCCTCCACTGTAGAGGGACAAGTCCGACTGGAACCCTCGGGCTGGGCGAAAGGGGGGGATAGCAAAGGGGGGTTTTGAGAGTCAGCTCACGTAGCTGATTTTCCTGGCGCCTCCCGGCGCCGGGAGGCGCCCATATATAGATATCGAGGGATGGGCCCGGCGGCGGGGCCGAAACCAGCTGCACACAGCTGATTTCGTACCCCCCCCCTTCCCAATTCCCCCCTTTCGTCGGGCCCGACATGCCCTCGACGACCTCGGCGAAGGGCACGAGGCCGTCGAGCTTGTCGAGGTCGCGGTTGCTGCCCAGGTTGATGAACAGCTGCGTGCTGCGGGTGTCGGGCCCCGCCGCGGCGAAGCTGACGCGCCCCGCGCGGTTCGTCATCTTCGGGAGGTCGTCCGCGATGGGCCTGCGCCGCCACCGGGCGGAGACGGCCGGGTCGCCGTGGACCCCGAACTGCGCCACGAAGCCCCTGACAACGCGGAAGAAGCGGGCGCCGGAGTAGAAGCGCTCGTCCACCAGCCTGCGAAAGCGCCTCGCCCCGACGGGCGCCCAGCGAGGGTTCACGCGCACGGTGAAGTTGCCGGACTCCCCGCCTCTTGACGTCGCTCGGGCGAGGGTTTCGTGCGCGTGCGTGCGTGTCCGCGAGGGGTGCCAGCGGCAGTCGAACGCCTTGCAGCGCCGCGCGGCGGCTTGCACGGGTCCAGATCGAGCGAGTGGACCCGTGCAGCAGCGCAGGCATACGTGACATACAGTGATGAGCATTTACTCGGCGCGTCGCGGCGGCGGCCCCTGCGAGATGCTACGCCTTGAAAACTGAGAGCGTGTCGTTGCGCTTCGTTTGGCGGGCGGCTGGGAGGTAGGGTACGTGGGTTCTTGCGGGCAAGAATGTGGTTAGCGTGTCTCGGCGAAGCGTGGTAGGCAAGACCCGGAGGCTAGCCACGATACTAGCCGTAGACGTCCACTGCGACACCAACATCGAACACCGGCAGACATGACAACGAAACCGGAACGGACCGAAACCGAATCTACCAGAAGCGGCCGAGAAGGACGCACCGGCGCGGCAACGACACAACGACCCGAACCGACCGAATGTAGCCGACTGCGACGCAGCCGAACCAACCGAAGCGCGGACAGCCTCACCTCCCTGCCCCCCGCCTGGCAGCAGCGGCCAGGTCTCCAGCGAGCATTCGGGACGGTCCAGTCAGACCTGCAACGATCTCGGTGAGGCGCAGCTGCTGGAAACCACCACGAGGCCAGAAGATCACCGAGCTCCTACAAAAACGCGATTGCAGAATCGAGCCTCGTACCCCTGTTCGCCCGAAGGTCGTCCTTCCACGACCCTCCTCCCCCAAGGAACGGCAACATCCGCCGAGATGTTCTTCTCAATCTGTGGCCCCAGAGGTCCCGAGCGCTTTCCCGCGGGTAATTAGCCTTTCGTCTCTGTTCTATGCTGATGAATGCCATGAAAATGGGCACTCTAACAATCCTACCATTGAATTAAATATGTGTTTGAAATGTGTAAGACATGTTCTAAAACTGTTTCGGACCTGTTCTTTTACAAGTTTGAAACATGTTTGAGACATCTTCTAGATATCTGGAAACTACTTGGCAGCACGCTTCCTCTCCATTAATAATCGGCTTCCACACATCCAACTGATGCTTGCTGCTCCCGGGGCGCCTGACACGGGGGCCCGGGAGGCCGACATCGAAGATTAAGCGACCAGATCGTCGGAGAGCTGGGCAAGCCACAGGGACCGGGCGACGCCCAGGGGGCCCTCGAGGCCCCGGGCAAGTATCGGTGCCTGCGCGTGCTGTTGCCTCGCCCCCTCCTCAGAAGAGCGGGCCCCTCCACAAGAAGCCTCCCCCTCTCCGCACACGCCTCTCCTCGCCCCCTCCTCAGAGGAGCGGGATCCTCCACAAGAAGCCTCCCCCTCTCCGCACACGCCTCTCCTCGCCCCCTCCTCGGAGGAGCGGGATCCTCCCAAGAAGCCTCCCCTCTCCGCACACGCCTCTCCTCGCCCCCTCCTCGGAGGAGCGGGCCCCTCCATAAGAAGCCTCCCCCTCTCCCCACCGCACGCCTCTCCGCGCGTGGCCGACGGGTGGCGCCATAGGTGGGGAGGGGGGGGCCTCCGAGGAGGCCTCGGGTGAGGTGCGCCTCGGGCGCGCTCCCAACACGCCACCCGGCCTTCTCAGCCAGACGCCCGCCCCCCTCGCGCCCCCGCCCCGGACTCCGGATCCGCCCTACTTTGGCTTTTTTTCCAACTTAAAATTGCGTCGGAATTCCACCTGGAAGAGGCCGAAAAAGTAAGGCGGAAATTGCTGCACCCAACATAAAATAGGGCGGAAATCCACAGAAACAGCAACAGAAAAGTATGGCAGAACGTGGCATCAGCGGGGCTTGAAAAGTAAAGCGGAAATTCCAAGCCCCACTTACGAATTTCCCCAAAGTAGGGCGGATCCGGAGTCAGCCCCCCCCCCCCCCCTGGGGCCCCCCGATGTCATGATTGCTCCAGGACGTCGGCCAGCGGCCCCGGCCCACTCCCCACGACCAGCTCTCCGTCCCGAGTCGTATCCTGACGGTCCCGGAGCCCGGTCAGGGCCCCCAAGAGGCCGAGACTAGGGAACAAGCCGACCTCGTAATTTCCTCATTGCCCGAAGGGCTCTCGGTGCCCACACGCCCGAGAGGCGCCCAGGGGCCTTCGAGGCCTCGCACCACGAACCTTGCCAGCCCGCTGCCCTCGTGGATGGACAAACTTATCCCGGCAAAGCAACCTAACAGCGATGTGTAGGAGCATGTCTGGAAGCATTCCCCTTAAGATTCAGATGAGAATCCAGTTGTAGAATTCTGCTGTTCTCGCAGTCGTAGTCGCATTCGCGATGACAGTCGCAGTGGCAACGGCAGTCGCAGTCACAGCCTCAGCCTCAGCCTGCCTCAGCCTCAGCCTCAGCCTGCCTCAGCCTCAGCCTGCCTCAGCCTCAGCCTCAGCCTGCTTCAGCCTCAGCCTCAGTCTCAGCCTCTTCAGCCTCAGGCTGCCTCAGCCTCAGCCTGCATCAGCCTCAGCCTCAGCCTCAGCCTGCCTCAGCATCAGCCTGCCTCAGCCTCAGCCTCAGCCTGCCTCAGCCTCAGCCTCAGCCTGCTTCAGCCTCAGCCTCAATCTGCCTTCAGCCTCGGCCTCAGCATCAGCCTGTGCCTCAGCCTTTGCCTCAGCCTCAGCCTGCCTCAGCCTCACCCTTAGCCTGCTGCCTCAGCCTCAGCCGCATCAAGCCTCAGCCTCAGCCTCAGCCTGCCTCATCCTGAGCCGGCACTCAGCCTCAGCTCGCATCAGCCTGCTCAGCCTCAGGCCTCAGCTGCTCAGCCTCAGCCTCAGTCTGCCTGCAGCTCCGGCTCCCTATGAGCCTGCCCAGCCGAGCCTGGACCAGCCTCAGCCTCAGCTGTTTCCAGCTCTCACCTGCTCAGCTCAGCCTCAGCCTGCCTCGGCCTCAGCCTCAGCCTGCTTCAGACTCAGCCTCAATCTGCCTTCAGCCTCGGCCTCAGCCTCAGCCTGCCTCAGCCTCAGCCTGCATCAGCCTCAGCCTCAGCCTCAGCCTGCCTCAGCATCAGCCTGCCTCAGCCTCAGGCTCAGCCTGCCTCAGCCTCAGCCTCAGCCTGCTTCAGCCTCAGCCTCAGTCTGCCTTCAGCCTCGGCCTCAGCCTCAGCCTGCCTCAGCCTCAGCCTGCATCAGCCTCAGCCTCAGCCTCAGCCTGCCTCAGCATCAGGCTGCCTCAGCCTCAGCCTCAGCCTCAGCCTGCCTCAGCCTCAGCCTGCCTCAGCCTCAGCCTCAGCCTGCCTCAGCCTCAGCCTCAGCTCAGGCTGCCTCAGCTCAGCCTGCATCAGCATTCAGCCTCTATTCAGCTCAGCCTGCCTCAGCATCAGGCTGCCTCAGCCTCAACATAAGCCGTTTCTGCCCAGCCTCAGACTGATCAAGGCCTCAGCCTCAATCTGCTTCAGCCTCGGCCTCAGCCTCAGCCTGCATCAGCCTCAGCCTCAGCCTGCACACCGCTATCAGCCTAGCCTCAGCCTCAGCCTCAGCCTGCCTCAGCCTCAGCCTCAGCCTGCCTCAGCTCAGCCTCAGTCTGCCTTCAGCCTCGGCCTCAGCCTCAGCCTGCATGAGCCTCAGCCTCAGCCTGCCTCAGCATCAGCCTGCCTCAGCCTCAGCCTCAGCCTGCCTCAGCCTCAGCCTCAGCCTGCTTCAGCCTCAGCCTCAGTCTGCCTTCAGCCTCGGCCTCAGCCTCAGCCTGCCTCAGCCTCAGCCTGCATCAGCCTCAGCCTCAGCCTCAGCCTGCTTCAGCATCAGCCTGCCTCAGCTTCAGCCTTAGCCTGCTTCAGCCTCAGCCTCAGTCTGCCTTCAGCCTCGGCGTCAGCCTCGGCGTCAGCCTCAGCCTGCCTCAGCCTCAGCCTGCCTCAGCCTCAGCATCAGCCTGCCTCAGCATTCAAAGTGTGGTCTGGGAATGGAGTTCTGGGAACTCGAAGAAGACGAAGTGGCCTACAGCTGGCTCCGGGCATTCAAAATCATGCCCAGGAATGGAGTTCTGGGAACTCGAAGACCACGAAGTGGCCTACAGTTGGCTCCATGCATTCAAAATCATGCCCAGTAATGGAGTTCTGGGAACTCGAAGACCACGAAGTGGCCTACAGCTGGCTCCAGGCATTCAAAATCATGCCCAGGAATGGAGTTCTGGGAACTCGAAGAACACAAAGTGGCCTACAGTTGGCTCCGGGCATTCAAAATCATGCCCAGGAATGGAGTTCTGGGAACTCGAAGACCACGAAGTGCGTTACTGTTTGCTCACAAAGGAGTCCACGACATTCCCCTGGATCGCGCCCAGACCCCGCTTGGGCGTCATGATGCTCTCCTATTAGTCTTCGCCCTTCAGTGAAAGTTGCCAGGGGCACTCCACGTGCGCACGGCACCACATTCCCAGTGCACCTCTGCGGGGTAGCCAGTCGACGTCCAGAAACAGCCGAAGGTTCCCAGCGAAACCGATTGGGGACTGCACCAGCACACTCGAATGCCACATTGGACGCCCGAATACAACTGCGGTCCAGGGTAACTCCTGTTTGGGCCCCCGATGCGCGAACCCGTAGCTACCTCTGACCGCCCCCAGCTCTGATGATTCGGGAGGGCTGGACGCCCGCATGTCCTGGGATGCTTGCAGTCCGAGGTGTAACTACAGTTGGGGCTCCCGAGGCACGAATCTGCAGTCGCCCCTGACCGCCCCCACACCTCATGGAGGAGGAGGAGGAGGAGGAGGAGGAGGAGGAGGAGGGAGGAACGACCCGTCATGAGCAGCAGCAGGAGGGATGATAATGATGATGATGATGATGATGATGATGATGATGATGATGATGATGATGATGATGAGGAGGAGAGGAGGAGGAGGAGGAGGAGGAGCAGGAGCAGGAGGAGAAGGAGGAGAGGGAGGAGGAGGAGGAGGAGGAGGAGGAGGAGGAGGAAGAGAGGAGGAGGAGGAGGAAGAGGGAGGAGGAGGAGGAGGAGGAGGAGGAGGAGGAGGAGAGGAGAGGAAGGAGGAGGAGGAGGAGGAGGCCGAACAGGAGGAGGAGGAGGAGAAGAAGGAGGAGGAGAAGGAGGAGGAGGAGGAGGAGATTCTGGGCTCTGGCCACACGCCCGCCCGCCCGAGCGACCCCTGGGGGCCTTCGAGGCCCCGCACCACGAACTTGGCCAGCCACGGCGCCAAGGTCGCGCCCGCCGCGCCCTGCACCCCGAGGCCCGCGGCCGCCGCGGCCAGCAGCCGCCGCCCGCCCGGCAT